ATCCATTTTGGTCTTTTCTTCCTTTCCTGTCTTTTTAATGACCTTTTGCTTTCTTCAGGGATGATGTCCCACAGTTCATCTGGTCTCCAGTCATTGGTGTGCAATGAGTCAATCAAATCTCTTGTTCAGACGGTCTCCAAATTTAAGTGGGACATATTCAAGGTCGTATTTTGACTCTTGCATACTTGTTTTAATTGTCTTCACTTTCAACTTGAAATTGCATATGAGCAATTGATAGTGTGGTTCACACCTTGTTCTGACTGATAATATTGAGCTTCTATGTCATCTCTTTCCACAAATGTAGTCAATTTGATTCCTGGGTATTCCATCTAGCAAGGACCACATATATAGTTGCCATTTATATTGTTGAAAAAAGGTATTTGTAATGAATAAGTCATCGGACTTGCAAAATTCTATCTTACAGTCTCTGGCATTTCTGTCACCAAGGCCATATTTTCCAACTACCAGTGCTGCTTTTTTGTTTTCAACTTTCATATTCTGTTCATCAGTAATTATCAGTACATCTTGATTGCATGTTTGGTCAATTTCTCACTGTAGAAGTTGATAAAAATCTTCAATATCTTCATCTTTGGTTATATTGGTTGGTGTGTAAATTTGAATAATAGTCATATTAACTGGTCTTCCTTGTAGGCGTATGGATATTATCCTATCACTGATAGCATTGTCCTTCAAGATAAATCTTGAAATGTTCTTTTTTATGATGAATGGGAAGCCATTTCTCTTCAATTTGTCAATCCCAGCATGGTAGACCATATGATTATCCAATTCAAAATTACCAATACCAGTCTGTTTCAGCTCAGGATGTCAATCTTTATGCATTACATTTCATTTTTGACAACTTCCAATTCTCCTAAATTCATACTTCATACATTCCATATCCCAATTATTAATGGATGTTTGTAGCTGTTTCATCTCATTTTGAGTTGTGCTATATCAACAAATGCAGGTCTCAAAAGCTTTACTCCATCCATAGCATTAAGTTCAATTCTACTTTGAGGAAGCAATGTTTACTCAGTCATAATAAGTGCCTTCCAACCTGAGGGACTCAGATTGCAGTACTGCAGTGTAGTAAATTACTTAAGTGTGGCTTTTCTACCCATAAGTCTTTGTAAACTCCAAGGTGGGATTTTCTATGAGCAACTGAGGAGTTATCCACCTGGGTTATTTCTGTTGGGTGTGGCACAATACAATGTTCTGGGAGGTTCCCACTCTCTCTCACGTGCTTAGAGTTCTGATGCTGTGATTGGCTAGTTTGACCACCCTTCCGGGCTCAAAAGGAGGCCTCCTGGAGGCAGAACTCTCTCTGACTGCTGGTAGAGGAAGACATGCT